CAACAAAGGCTTTTGTACAAAGTATTAGATAAATTTCAGTAAGTGTGTTCAATACTTATTTCTTTGTATGTATGGATCACTTGGGTTGTTACCAACATCTGGTGAAAATTTCATGTCATTAGCACCTCTAGTAATATATTTACTGAGAAAATGGTGACGTGTTAAATACTTATTTTACCCGCTGTATGATACTGGTCCTTTGCAGCTAGAACAGCTTCACCTCTTCTGAAGGCTGCTCACAGGGTTTAGGAGTGTTTATGGGGATTTTTGAGCATTCTTCCAGAAGCACATTTGTTAGGTCACATGATGTTGGACAGAAGGCCTGACTCTCAGTCTCTGCTCTAATTCATACCAAAGGTGTTCTGCTGGGTTGAGGTCAGGACTCTGTGCAGGTCAGTCAAGTTCATCCACACCAGACTCTGCCATCCATGTCTTTATGAACCTTGCTTTGTTCACTGGAGCACAGTCATTAGGATGGGTGAGCAAATACATACATATGGCAACATATTACAACTTTATTCAGGTAATTATGACTTTATTCTCAGATTATTTTGACTTTACTCTTACATATTATGACTATTATCATAATTTAAAAATAAATCTCAGTCTGGCTCTAACTCTCCATCATACAAACCAACTGTCGTTTCAAACTGAAGACATTGTGTTGTGTATGGTGTTTTTAGATCTTTTTTAACAAAAGCTGCCAAAACACAAAACTTTTTAATAGATTCAATAGTTTAGTGTTTGTTTACCTTCTCAGAGTAAAGGTCAGGTTGGAGAGGGGGGTAATCACACTGCTCAATCTTTTGGCAGAGGGACAGGAGGTTCATCTGGTCCCCATAGAAAGGGCTCTGCAGAGCAGCCATCTGAAGAAAGACAGTGAATGAGAGAAATCCTGGAAAAGCCTACTTTACGAGTCTGAGCAGAATGACCTGCAGCCATTAAAGCTGCTCTCTTTGAGCCAAGGGAGGGTGCTGAGCACAACACTCTCAGGAAGATTCATTTCACAGCTTTTGTCAGACTCGCTGATTTGACACAGTCCGTGCACTCAGATTTCAATCAAACTTCAGAAACCAGGGCAGGAAACAAAACAAAAAAAGACTGATATGAGTTATTGCAGCATATGGAGACTGTGTGTCCCAAAATACTCTGACATGCACCCAAAACCATCGTTCTGACTACCAGAACAATGGCTTTGTACTGTAATACAACACAGAAAAGTTTGAATAAACTTATGCACAGGATCGTTCTGCTTCTCCTCTAAACCACATTTTAAAGCATTTGTACTAATTTCCTGCACTCCTGTTTTAAATGTTCTTAACACTCAGCTTCCTGTTTGTGCAAGTCAAACACACTCTTTTTTTCAGTTTGCACTTAAAACTGTTGTGGAACAACCCTGTCAGAATTACTATGATGACTGCTACAATCCTGCATATCCTAGTTTAGCTATAGTGTTTGTTTCAAACAACAGCTTAGTAACAGGAATTCAACAACACAATGTGCTACGAGCTACAACTGTACAACTATACACTTATTGGTAATCAACAAAAAGATTTTAAAAAATGTTGTAGGTTTTGTTTATATCTAAACATCATCATTATTATTATTATTATTATTATTATTATTATTATTATTATTATTATTATTATTATTATTATTATTATTATTATTATTATTATTACCACCACCACTGACTTTATGGTTTAAAAACAGAAAAAGTTCAACTGAAGGAAAAAACAACTGAGTTGCTTCCTTTAGATATTGCAAACCTTTTGTGCAGCAACAGTTGTGGTTGAGAGGGGAACTCACTACAGAACAATAAACTTCTTTTTGTCATGATCAAATGTCTTAATACCACCAAGTAATACTAGTTGGAAAGTCACTTGACCAGGCTTTATTGAGAAGTGTGAATTTATGGGTTGCCACAACTTGCATCTATTGTTGGCTTTTTTTCTGTTTATTTTTTGTCCTTTTTGAACCAGTTTGAATTATCAATATGAAACTCCAACTTGTCATGTTGTGAAAACAAAGGTCAACAGAGATAAAAATAAAGAGTTGCCTTGTGACAGATGAATCAATGTACTTTCTCAAATTTGCAGTGAACTTTGCATTCTTTCAGATAAATATGAAGACATCAGTTAATTGGACTCCACTTCTTCCAAAGTCAAAGCAGACGCCACGTTTGCTCTTCTTCAGACAGACAAATACCAACAGTTACCAATGGTTTTGCAACCTAGCTTACATACTATTACTACCTACAACCTACCTACTTTATAATTTAAGTAATATCAAGTAATACAAAATAAATTATCTAAATAATCCAATTTTTTAACTGACCCCCTGACCTCAACACTGACCAATAAAATGGCACCAATTAAAAACACTTTTTTCTCCTCATGTTTGGACTTCAGAGCTGGGAGGAGATACATTATTCAGCAGTTTTGGTTTTTGTGAAGATCTGAAGCTCCTGTCTTTCAGAGAGCGTGCACGGGAAAAAACTAACAGAAGCTAGGTTAGGAAATGACAAATTATACAACAGCCTTAAAATTATTGTATTTTTACACAAACTATCATTTGTGCTGATTGAATGAGCAATTTCTCGGGGGGGGGGGGGTAATGTGAGTTGTGTGGATGAATATGTGCGCTGAAAAGAAATGGGCTTCATCGTATAACTTGTAAAAACAATAATTACTGTATATCTAACAACACTGATGTATAAGCTCTGGTCCAGTATCATTAACAGTACTGGAATAATGGCTTTAAGTGTGAACATGGTGCATGCAGCGTTGTTTACAAAAAAGAAAACGAGCTATCTTTTCCTCTCTTGCCTCTCACAGCCTGCTTCTCCTGTGCTGTCAGACTCAGCATGAAGGAGAGCGGCTGCTAACACAGGATTCCAGCGCTGATGTGACCTGCATGCGCAGAAAAAGACATGGAAGTCATATTCAGCTTGTTGTTTACAGAAGTAGCTAAATATAAAAATCTGGGTGTGATGGTGGATCCTCTGTTTAAATTTGAAAAACATATTAGCACTGTTATCAAAGCCAGTTTCTTCCAGTTGAGGACACTTGCTAAGATAAAATCTTATCTTCCTTTGACTGACTTTGAGAGAGCTATTCATGCATTTATCACTTCATGTTTAGATTACTGTAATTCTCTGTATTTAGGGCTGGATCAGAGTTCTTTACAGCGATTGCAGAGGGTGCAAAACGCTGCAGCCTGTTTGTTGACAAAAGCAAGGAGGTGTGACTCTATTAGCCCCATTTTGCGCACACTTCATTGGCTCCCTGTTGTCTTCCGTGTAAAATTTAAGGTTTTATTGATAGTTTTTAAATGTTTAAACTCTTCGGGCCCATCTTACTTAACTGAACTTGTGCAGCCCTACACCCCACCCAGAGCCCTGAGGTCAGCCGACCAGCTTTTGTTGGCTGTCCCTAAAGCCAGGTTAAAGACCAGAGGAGACAGAGCTTTGGCTGTGGCAGCACCCAAACTGTGGAACAGTCTCCCTTTGTCTGTTAGGCTCTCTCAGTCAGTGGGTCAGTTTAAGTCCAGACTGAAGATGCATCTGTTCTCCCTGGCCTTTAACTCTGGTTAAAAGAAAATTTGGACTTAATTTGATTTGAGTTTTTGGGAAATTGCTGCAACTTATATTAAGTATGTTTTTGTTTTTTCTTGGTATCACTATTTTTTGGTATGCTACAGCTTATTCTATTATTGTTTTTATTTTTTAACAAATTTCAATTTTATTGTAATTATATGTGCGTGCGTGCGTGCGTGCGTGCGTGCGTGCGTACGTACGTACGTACGTATGTATGTATGTATGTATGTATGTATGTATGTATGTATGTATGTATGTATTGTTTTACCCTTAGTTAAATGTGATGTGATTGCTGTGAAGCACTTTGGTCAACTGAGGTTGTTGTAAATGTGCTATATAAATAAAATTTGACTTGACTTGAAACATGGATGCTCTTGTTAGCATTTTGATTCTAAAATTGTGCAATCAGACTCATTTAAATAATTATCTGACCTGCTTGTTTATTTCACTGTTTACATCTGAATCTGCCTCTGAACAGATGCTCCACTGCAGCTTTTTATTTTTGGAACAAAGTGATGTGCAAAAACTAAAGTTTCGACTGATTAACTTTAGCATCGATACACTCCACGATCGCTTGATGTTACAATCGTATTTTTCTGTGGATTCTCAGTCATTCAGGTATAGAAAGTTAAAAGAAAAAACAAATACAAATTATAAAATTGAATGTGCAAATAAAAATTACGTGGCTTTATTGTATGTTACACTGCCTGGCAAAAGAAAGTTACCAAAAAAGGAAAAAAGAAGGTCACACACTCTTGTTGGACCACCTTTAGCTTTGATTATAGCTCACATGCTCTGTGGCATTGTTTGGATAAACTTCTGCAAGATTTATTTCCATCCAGTGTTGCATGACTTTTTCACCAAGATCTTGCATTGATGATGGTAGAGTCTGATCTTCTCCAGCACATCCAAAAGATTCTCATTGACTCTGTGGAGCCAATCCATGTGTAAAATTGATGTCTCATGCTCCCTGAACCACTCTTTAACAATTCCAGCCCCATGAATCCTGACATTGTCATCATGGAATATGGCCATACCATCAGGTAAGAAACAAACCACTGATGGAATAACCTGGTCATTCCGTATATTCAGGTCAGCTGACCTCATTATTTGAGCACAAACTGTTGCTGAACCTAGACCTGACCACCTGCAGCAACCCAACAGCATAGAACTTAGTTGAATCCAGGTGGAGACTTTCTTTGGCCAGGCAGTGTGTTTTGTTCTATAATAAAATTATTGCATATTCATAGTTTGTTTGTGGTTTTATTCCCATAGAAAAACATTGATTAGAGGACCGTTAAAATACTCTATCAATAAAATCTTAATGATACCCATCCCTAGCTACAATGTCTTCATTGGAAACTTTAGTTTCAGACATTAGTCACCACAAAGACTGGGAGGTAAGAGACTCTCCAACCTCCCGGCTGCACAAGTTAGACATATTTTCATGAGGAAGAAGGTAAACTTTATAAATTTTCACTATCCATAAATTTAAAAGTCCTGCCAGTGAATGGGAACTTACCTCATACAGAAGACACCCCAGAGACCAGATGTCTGATTTAAAATTGTATCCATTTTCATGGATCCGTTCTGGTGACATGTAGTAAGGTGTCCCCACTACAACACACAGTATAACAAACAAATAAAACCTTCACACTTTCCATTTGACCCACAATTAGTGGCTCAATGAATGGTACACACCATGCATTTATGTGCAACATGAACAATGATTTATATTCTGTGTATTTTACCTAAAGAATGTGCTGCAGTTGTTTTAGAGCTGAAAAAGCGTCCTAATCCGAGGTCACCAAGCTTCACCTCCCCTGTGGCTGTTATGAACACATTCGCTGGCTTGATGTCTGTTTGGACACAGAAAATTTTTTTAACTTCCATTACAGACTTAAAGAAATTCAATATTAAAATAAAATGTACGCAAATTAATTGGAGAGTGAGCTTCGGCCATAACACTGAAAATGCTATACGTTCTTTTATGGTTTTACGCTAATATTTAGGTTTCTTTCAATAACTTTTTATCACTTCTGACTAAAAAAATGAAACAACTGCAATATTTTGGATTTATTACCCTGTTGAAATTAATGCTTATTTATTTACATTTTACTTCACAAATAAAATATTTGTCTATAAAGCCCAATGTTTTTCAGATGCTGCCTTCTTGCATTTTAACAGTAGAACATAAAGTAACAGACAAACTGAAAAAGAAAGGGCAGATACAGTGGTTTGCAAAAGTATTCATACCCCTTGAACTTTTCCATATTTTGTCACATTACAACCACAAACATAAATATATTTCACTGGAATTTAATG